AGAGAGAGAGAGAGAGAGAGAGAGAGAGAGAGAAAGAGAAAAAAGAGAGAGAAAGAGACAGACAGAAAGACACGCACACATACACAGAGAGAGAGAGAGAGAGAGAGAGAGAGAGAGAAAGAGAGAGATGAATCAGGAGAGGGAGACGGATGAAAAAAATTGACAAAATGGCACGGGATAGTCTAGAAGCAGAGCAAGTGATGACGATGACTGGGACAAGTCAGAGCGGCTAAAGGCAAGGTTCTTTCCCCCATCCCTTGAGCAAAGCAAGGACGAAGGGGGGATTTCTTTTCATGCTAACTGTTGAGTCTATTTGAGTTGTAGCCACTTGGCATGCGAGCGCATATAAATGTGAACGATGCAGTACTGGTACCAGAAAAGGTATTTATGAATGTTTTACTTTCCCATCGACACAATTTAGATCATTGAGGAGTCGAGCTGCTTTGACCCTGCCGACCCTGGCCGAACCAGAAGACACAACTTCCCAGGAGACAAAGACAAGATATAAATCTAAATTTTAAAAAAACAAACAAACAAAACAACTCCCCACCCCCACAAAACCCCAACGCACAACCAATAACCAAACCAAAACAAAGAACAACAACACCTTCCGTTTAATAATAAAACATCCCCATTTAAGAATCCAGCTCACGTCTTCTGCGTGCTACAGCGTACAGCCGGACAATTCACCAAAGATGCTAAAAGAGAGCGATTTCTTTTCCGGCTAATGCTTAAGTCTCTTTCCGCTGAAGCCACACCGCATATTATGTCCGCATTATAAGTGATAACGCACACACATTCATCACAAAATAATCCGAAAAGGGAACCGTTGCAACATGCACGACGCCCGCCACACAGTTCACATCACACAAGCGTACGACGTAATACATCAGGAAAGAGAAGCAGAGGAAGACCAAAAAGGCAAAATTATAGACAGGGACCGTACGAGCATCTTAAGAATTCCTTTCCCACTAATCTCACAACCACACTTCAGCAAATCAATTTCTGCCACCTTTCGTCATTTAACCAGTGAACTTAAAATTAAACATCTAACTGAGCAATACAATGTTTCATTTGGAATATCCTAAAACAACGGGGTAGAGAAAGTGTGTGTGCGTGTGGGGGGGGGGTCCTGGCATGGGATATGTTAAAGATATCGTGTTGGAATTACTGCTTCAGAGGACATCAGGCTTTCATAACTCTTTCTGAACTTACTCCAAACGTCCTTACGCAATACTCAATTCAATTCCGCAATTTCCGATTCGCCAAAACGCAATGTTGTTTACTTTTGACGCGCAGATTTACATTTTCGATTTTTCAACCACGAAGAGTGACACTGAGTGTTCCAGAATTTTTTTAAACGAAAATTAGATCATGAGGCCAGATGTGTGTCATACGAATTCTCCGTGTGGCAGCTGGATGACAGCTTTTGAGAGACAAGATTGTTGAGCAAGTGCAAGGTACTTCTAATTTGATCTCTCTCTCTCTCTCTCTCTCTCTCTCTCTCTCTCTCTCTCTCTCTCTCT